TCAAGTTTAGCCCGCAGCCCAGACAGACTGACATGCATAATCATGCTAATCTGCAGGGGAATTTCGAAGATGCACACAACAATATCATAGAGCAGGCAAATGGAATACGTAAGGGGATCAGGCACACACCTGAGTGGAACCTATGCTTATGGCTGCTCTATAAGAACTGGGACCATGTCTGCGCATAATAAAAGAACAAGCAAGCAGCTAGGCAGGGGAAAGAGACAGACAGAGTAGTATTAGAAGCAACAATGGAATGCAGTTTAGTAAATACCAAAAACATGCTACAGCGACCAAAAACAAACGACGCCATGCAGAGCTCAAGATGAGCAGCTCCAAAAAGCAGTCAAATGAATTTTTTTCGTACCACTCAACTGGCTAGTGGGCGGGGCTGATGGGGTGGTGTTGGTGGCAAGTGCAGCTGCACGGACAGAGCGCTGCATGCCATTGCATAGTTTGCTGCACACGGTCACAGTATTAGGTATTGCCCGTACGGAGTAGAGTGCACACGGCCAGACCCCATATATTTCAGCTGCAAAATGCCAAAAGGTATTTTAAGTAGTTTCGAACTGATTCCAAGCGCCATAAATTCTTCTGTCCGTTGCCGTTGACTACGCGCAGCAGCAGCAGCAGGAGCAGGAGTAGCAGGAGTAGTGGCAGGAGTTGTAGCTCCACCTGCTTAGCTTCGGCCATGCCAGGCATTTGGTGCTTAGCGCTTCAGTATCCTTTATCCCTTTTTAACGACCATAAATATATATATGTGTGCGACTGTCTGTGTGTGGTTGACTGTGTGTGTGTGTGTGTATGCAGGCCAGACAGTTAGCTAGACGTGCAGCTAGCAAGGTGCGCAATGTATTCGTCAGACTGCGGCCATGTTGCCTGTTGTTTTTCATCCCAAAGCTCCAGTCGATGCCAGTTTGCATAAAACAAAGCAACAACAACAACAACAGCAATAGCAGCAGCAGCTAAGGCAACAACTAGAGAGTCTGTGATTACATGGTGCATAAAAATGCACTCAGCTATGCAGTCCGAAGGCAATATCAGGTACTCGGCAACCGGGGCTCAATATCTGCAAGCAGGAACTAAAGTTTAGCCTTTACCAATTACAAAGTTAGCAGAGTGCATGCAGCTCTTTGAGAGTCAAAGTGCATATTAGTTTGCCTTTTATATATGTATATTTTTAATATAATAAATATTAAACTAAAGTGAATGCTCTTTTGAATTTAAAAAAAAAAAAAATACATATGCATATATATAAATAAATAAATAATCAGGAAAACAAAAAATTTGCTATTCAGAATTGCCAAGTTTTGGTAAATAAATAATTATAAATATATAAATAATAAAATATATAAATTATATAAATAATTAAATAATAACATTATTTTTTTTATTTTTTTAAATATATACATTTTCACATAAAAAAATATGTTTTTCAGAAAAATTTGTTTTGTTTTTAATTTGAAAAATAAATTTATATAATTATTTAAAACAAATTGGTAGTTATTAAATTAGTTATTAAGTTAACAAATTATTCGCTGTCCTGATTATTTTTAGCGGCCGATTCTTGTAGGTTTTTGCTCAACAATTTTTTTTTTTTATATTTAATGAAATTATGCAGAGCTTAGTTTTATTTTATTTGAAGGAGAGTAAAAGAGAAAAATAGAAAAATTAAAATAATATATACTATACCTTGATAAATGTAAAGAAAATATTTAATAATAGC